AATTAGAATATTCTGAAAAGGCTGAATATAGAAGACACCTGCTGCCACTCTAATCAGCTGATTTACTCAAAACACCTGCAAAGGCCTTTAAAAGGTCCCTCAGTCTTGTTTTGAAGGCACCACAATCATGGGGAAGACTTCTGACTTAACAGCTGTCCAAAAGACAATCATTGACACCTTGCACAAGGAGGGCAAGACACAAAAGGTGATTGCTAAAGAAGCTGGCTGTTCGCAGAGCTGTGTCCAAGCACATTAACAGACAGGCGAAGGGACGGAAAAAATGTGGTAGAAAAAAGTGTACAAGCTCTAGGGATAACCGCACCCTGCAGAGAATTGTGACGACAAACCCATTCAAAAATGTGGGGGAGATCCACAGAGAGTGGACTGCAGCTGGAGTCAGCGCTTCAAGAACCACCACGAGGAGACTCATGAAAGACATGGGATTCAGGTGTCGCATTCCGTGTGTCAAGCCACTCTTGAACAAGAAACAGCGCAAGAAGCGTCTCGCCTGGGCCAAGGACAAAAAGGACTGGACTGATGCTGAGTGGTCCAAAGTTATGTTTTCTGATGAAAGCAAGTTCTGCATTTCCTTTGGAAATCAAGGACCCAGAGTCTGGAGGAAGAGCGGAGAAGCACAGAATCCACGTTGCATGAGGTCCAGTGTAAAGTTTCCACCGTCAGTGATGGTGTGGGGTGCCATGTCATCTGCCGGTGTTGGCCCACTCTGTTTCCTGAGGTCCAGGGTCAATGCAGCCATCTACCAGGAAGTTTTAGAGCACTTCATGCTTCCTGCTGCTGACCAACTTTATGGGGATGCAGACTTCACCTTTCAACAGGACTTGGCACCTGCACACAGTGCCAAAACCACCAGCACCTGGTTCAAGGACCATGGTATCCCTGTCCTTGATTGGCCAGCAAACTCGCCTGACCTTAACCCCATAGAAAATCTATGGGGTATTGTGAAGCGGAGGATGCAATACGCTAGACCCAACAATGCAGAGGAGCTGAAGACGACTATCAGAGCAACCTGGGCTCTCATAACACCTGAGCAGTGCCACAGACTGATCGAGTCCATGCCACGCCGCATTACTGCAGTTATTGAGGCAAAAGGAGCCCCGACTAAGTATTGAGTGCTATACATGCACATTCTTTTCATGTTCATTCTTTTCAGTTGGCCAACATTAGAGAAACAAACATTTTTTCATTGGCCTTTAGAATATTCTAATTGTCTGAGATACCAGATTTGATGTTTTCATTGGTTGTCACCTATAAATATCAAAATTAAACGTAATGAACATTGGAAATACATTGGTCTGTGTGCATTGCATGAATATAATGTACAAGTTTCACGTTTTGAATGGAATTACTGAAATATTTTCAACCTTTTGATGATATTCTAATTTACTGGCCAGCACCTGTATATGAGTGAGCGCATGGCTTCTTCTCCTGAAATAGTCTCACGAGAGCTCCCTCTGCAGGAGGGGAGGCCGTTGCACCTAACAGACCCCGGGCCCATTCACATTCCTGGTATTCAGGAGAGGGCCGAACGCCTGATCCTAAAGTTTAAGGGCAAACCGGACAGGCCACCAAAGGTGAACACTGCATGGGCACTTTGTGATACTTTGTAATTCACCGTCCCACCGCCGGGATGACTTCTGAGCCTGCTTGTGTAAGTTTGAAGCACGGACTGTTCTCTCTAAATCTGATTCCTTCCTTTCAATTATCCTCCTGCCTCCCGGAAGGTGAAGAAAAAGCCGTCCCGTTTCCTTTTAGAGCAGTGGCACTTGTCCCGAGGCCTGGACGGGAGCCCGGCTTCACCGCTCTCCTCTCCTGACTCTTCCAGAAAGGTTTGGCTGGCGCTGCTGAATCACTCTTTGCAACTCAGAGGAATTGCCACAGAGCACAAAGAAATTACTTTAAGACTCACTTTTGTATCTATTTATCTCAAATGCAGCCTTTAGCTTTTGGGCATTATTCGTTGACTGAGTTCAGGGCATCAGTTGTTCACTTTTTCAGGCTTAAATTGGTGCACGAATGCAAAGCTTTTAGTTTGGCCGTTGCAAACAAAACAACGTTGGTCGGAGCCACAAAGCCAAGCTTCTTAAACTGGAAATTGCATTTTTAGTTGTTCCAGTTGTAAAAACTCAGCTTGATCTTTGTAGACCCCTTTGGGGACTGAATCCGTTATTTCTCTGCAGGAACGAGTGAGGCCACTGGACTCTGGCCAGATGCCTGTGTTTGTTCTCAGTATTCAGGAGCGAGCCGAGCAACTTGCCGCTCAAATGGAGGGCAAGCGGGCCGGGCCACAGGTGAATTAGTCTAAATGTCGAGTCTGCTTTGTAGGAGTCGACAGTTTAATCGTTCTTTGTGATTTCGACATCAACATATAGACTGATTTGGCGAAGTAACCGGAAGTTAAGCCGCCACGTTACCGCGGTGACAGCTGCCAGCCGTAGGCGTTGTGCGCAAAGCGGGCTTTTGAAAATGAGCAGCAAGAAGTGGAAGTTGTTTCTTTAGTGAACGTGTCTAGGAAGGCTGGGAGGACGTGTGCAGTCGTCGGCTGTTCTAAATACAACAGAAAAAGCTACATTTGGAAGGAAATCTTAAGCGAGATATTGTGGTCTGTGCAGGACCGGACCGGATCAAACCCTGCTTGGCAGCCGCCTTCGCCTTGAGCAGGAGCGCTGCGGGGTCGCTGCAGCAGCACTCCTGGCAGTGGAAAGTTTGTGCGGCCTATCCTGAGCTCAAGTAATTCTGACCCTCGATGTAGTTGATCAGAGACCTCTTCTGGTCATCACAGAAATTCAATAGAATATTCTTGAATGTCTAAACCAAACACAAACTTGTTTTTATGTCACATAGCTTGTTAGGACAGGGTATCCGCGGGTCCTTAAAAGGTCTTAAAAAGTCTTAAATTTGCTTTTCCAAATTTAAGGCCTCAAAAATCCTAAAAAAGGACAAATAATCCTTAAACAGAGTTTCCAAAGGTCTTAAATTACCAAAGACCCAATTAACAAGATTCTTTTATGTCTATAAAAATTTTGTGAATTTCTAGTTAGTGTTCAGCATTTTTTGTGTACGATATTGGCGTAAGCGGAACCGTATACATTCAGTGAAAGGGGGCTGTTTTTAGATGAGTACATTAGCTGGTTAAGCTAGTGGGAGCTTGCTCCACGGGGAAGTGCAAGTTTAATGGTAACTGGATGGCTAATCCCACGTTCGCGACGTTCCAGGCAATAGCTGGAAATCATAGCTTAAATTTAATTTTAAGAAACAGCTTAAATTTGGTCGAAGTGGCCTTAAATTTGTCTCCCTTAAACCTGCAGATACCCTGTAGGGGCGTAACGGTACGCTCGCATCGTATTCGGTTCGCTTCAGTGTTTTAAAGAGTTCGATTCGATTAGTTTTCAGTATATTATTATTATACTTATTTATTTAATAATATCTGAAGCAGCTCCTATAGCGAGCAGAACCAGGTGTCATCACAGTCTCCTGATCTAGCATGGTGTCTTTAATTATTTCACACTGTATTAGTGCAGCTATGAGCATCACACTCATACAGACAAGTGTTGTGTTTGACTGTTGATGCTCTGTTTTTATTTCTGCAGGAGCCTTAAAAGCTCATCTCGCTCACGCCGCCCAGAGGTTCTTCTTTAAAACTCGTATGAAGTAACGAGCTTCCTCCACGCCGTGTTTTTTGTTGTAGGACAGGGTATCCGCGGGTCCAGTCTTAAAAAGTCTTAAAAAGTCTCAAATTTGCTTTTCCAAATTTAAGGCCTCAAAAATCCTTAAAAATGACAAATAATCCTTAAAGACAGTTTCCAAAGGTCTTAAATGACCAAATACCCAATAATCAAGATTGTTTTATTTTTATAAATTTTTTGTGAATTTCTCGTTAGCGTTCAGCATTTTTGTGTACGATATTGGCGTAAGCGGAACCGTATACATTCAGTGAAAGGGGGCTGTTTTTAGATGAGCACATTAGCTGGTTAAGCTAGTGGGAGCTTGCTCCATGGGGAAGTACAAGTTTAATGGTAACTGGATGGTTAATCCCACGTTTGCGACGTGGTTAGCACCAGTTCCAGGCAATAGCTGGAAATTATAGCTTAAATTTTATTTTTAAAAATTGCATAAATTTGGTCTAAGTGGCCTTAAGAAAGGTCTTAAAATGTCTTAAATTTGACTCCCTTCAACCTGCAGATACCATGGAGGATGAAAACTTTACATCAGTTGTCACTGGGAAAATTAAGCAGACGTGTTTGTTTACATTTTTTGCCGCAGCGTGCCGGCGGTGTGAGAGAAGGGAGGGAGGGGCGAGGCGACGCTCCCTTCAGCGTCTCTACGGGCGCCAGTAGCAGCGACAGCCAGCTGCTTTGATCTGCCGCTCTAAAAGGCGTTGATCAGAATTTGCAGGTGACGTTTTTTAAACGGAGATCAGGCGCATGCAGCCATCATGCGTCACTCAATACAGCGTCCGTGCAGAAACTCGCCTAGGAACTTTTATCCGCTGCTCCTAAATCACGCAAATAAAAATGAATTATTTAACGGAAAATGAACCGAAAAGGTTCAACACCCCACCCGTGAACCGTTGCACCCCTATAGCTTGTCCTTCATGATTAAACATCACTGTTAGCTTGCTAACTGCAGTGTTTAATGATGCAGTCTGTTATCTCCCCGTTACTCTTTCCTGTTTATCGCTCAAACAAAGGATTAATTCATAAATTAATTACTGTATTCATTTAATATACCTTCACCAGTTGCTGGAGGCCACTGTCTAACATAATCAGTCCAGCAGAGGGTCAGTTTACAATGACAGGATAATGAACGAATAAAGACGCGCGTTGCCAAAAGATGGCGACCTCCACAAATCGCTTGCCGAATCGGTCTATATTACTGATATAAGTTACACTTGAATATTAGAATCGAGTTAAAGCATAAATCAAACAAAAAAATCTACTAATTCATGAAGAGTCACGTGAGGTCACTCAGGTGATTAAGCAGCGCCTCTACTCTGCTCTCTCCCCCTTGAGCCTAAGAAAAAGCCCTCCCGTTTTTTTATGGATCAGTGGCACCTGGCTCGGGCCCAGGTTCCCCCCGACTCCCTCCCATCCACCTCGGACACCCGGAGACAGGTAGCCCTTCAGCACTTGAACGGGAACGGAGTGCCGTGTTGCTGACAAAGATGCATCGCCTCACTTCTGCAGGAGTTGCTGAACATGAAAACAAACTCACCTGAGACCTGCTTTAAAGCCTGCATGTTGTGAAAGGATGACAGAAACTCTCACTTGCAGCTTGCTGTGATTAATACTTTGGTTGGGACTCTTTTAGTCAGTTAGAGCTCTATTTTGCTCTAGTTTTTTATTACAGTACTTGTTTGGATCAGAGTAGTAGCTTGGAAGCAAACATCTTGCTTTTTGTGGCCTACATTAGCCACATACTACTGCTAAACTCTTCTTCTGTGGTATAGAGGATAAACTCTCTACTAGTGTCTTTGAAATGAGTTCAATCCTGGTGTGGATGAAGCTGGATTTAAATGTAAAGATTATGTGAAATCCTGGTAAAGTAAATGGGGCCTTACAGCATTTTTATTTCTTTATTATGCCAAATAAACCATTAGGTATGTGTGTGCATGTGTGTGTGAAAATGCATGACTGCTTAACAAAAGCAGTTTGTATGGCAGAGCCACTCCTTTGTTCGTTGTCCTTCTTGAGTTCCACAAATCCACTTTTTCCTGTTCCATCATTCGTTTGACCAAGTGAAGCAGCTTTTGGGTTGATTTAACAAGCCGGTGTCGGTACAGGATCTGCTCGGGTGCAAGATCGGCTCGGGGTCCTTCGACTGCCGATGACGTCAAAGTACGGCAAACCCACTCGGACAAAATACACTACACATCTTTATACTGTTGGAAAGAATTTAGCAGCTTCGTTATTAAAATAATGTTTCTTAAGACGTAAGTTTGTGTTTATAATGGTATTTGTAAAATAAAACACTATATTTTATTCATAATGTTGAACTCCTCTTTGAGCACATCCCTTGAAGGATCATAGGTATTAGCAACACCTGTGAAATTGTATTTGCAGGAAAGAAGTGTGTCCCGTTTGTTGAAGTATTTTGTGTTTAGAGTTTTTGACGTCGTGTCCATGAGTAGTTCAGTTACGCTCATAGCTGCTAGCCAAAACTCTGGAGTTAAAAGTTTTCTGGCTTTACTAAAATACCTGTCTGTACTTATTTGATTGATGGTAGTTTTACTTTCTATTAGACTCCAAATGTAATCATTTGGCACGTTTTTTAATTCATAATTTGTAAGAATGTAATCGGTGATATTAGCATTATCATTCCTATGGGTTTTCCCATGTATATTAGCATTGCGCTAACCACTCGCTGCCAGATTGCAGCCTTTGCGATTAGAAAATCTCCTTTTGTCACATCGCAATTTAATTGCACATGCAGTTAATCGTTCAGCCCTAATATACATGCAGCTCTATGCTAAAAGTGTATTTTCAAAGAGGTAATGATGGATTTCTTTGTAAAAGTTGTCCATCTTTCCAACAGAAAGATTTGCCTGGACCAACGTAACGTGATAACAACGTAACGCGATTACGTATTTCCGTAAGGTTCATGTTCAGCCAATCAACTACTTTGACGTCATCAGCAGTCAACTGACCCCGAGCCGATTTTGCACCTGAGCAGATCTTGTACCGACACCGGGTTTGGTTTACGACTAGTTGGGCGACGCGGTCGGTGCTTCCTAACTCTGCTTTGCCATGAGTGAATTCCCATTGTTGTTCCTGTTTCATTTCCTTTTTATCTCCATGCACTTTATTCCATTTCTAATGTTTCCTTTCCACTTTTTCCTCCCTCTATCGATGCTGTTGATAGCGCTATGTAAGGATGTACACGGGGGGAGTTAGCACATTGGCTGAGCAGATAGCCAATCAGCTTCATTCTCAGGAAGACTCCAGGCCCACACTTGAACCTGAAAAGAGGGATGGGGTAAGCACGTTGTCCTCAGGGTAGAAGGCTGCACAAATCTCGTCTGCCTAAGTGTTGTGTGAAATTCTTCAGTTGCTAATCATTCACCTGCAGTTTGGACAGACGGATGACCCTTTGACCTTGTGTACGGTGTTAAGAATGGCCTAAGTTGTATGAGCCCTTCCCTCCGTTCTCACCCGACCCCCTTTTTGTTTAGTTTTTCGTCTGATTTTATTTCAATAATGATTATGTTCCTTCTTCCCCTCAGGGTTCTCTTAGAAAAGAGTTTCCCGTTAACATCGGAGGCAGCGACGTCTGCTTCTTTTGTCGGAAGCGTGTTTACGTCATGGAGAGGCTGAGCGCAGAGGGGAAGTTCTTCCATCGCAGCTGCTTCAAGTGTGACTACTGTGGCACCACACTACGACTCTCCTCTTATGCCTTTGATGTGGAGGATGGTAAGGCGAATGCTTGGCTAGCCTTTTGCAACGATCCTTTTTTATTTTAGTCACTTTTAAATTTTAACATCGGACTAAAATAACCCGAGTAAAAACAAAATGTTGCTTTCAGATGATGATTTTAGGCACTAAAGGAGACATACCCTGACTTTTGTTCTTAACTTAGAATAGTTCTCTGGCCGATACAAAGCATAGATGAGGTTTTATTAAAATAATTGAAAAATGCGGGGTCGTCTTATAATCGGGGTCTGTTACACACGCTGATATTGTCTGGGGTCATTACACGCTCGTAACAGCAGAGGGCGCCAGGCTGCACATTCTGAACAGGAGAAAAAAATGGAGACCAGAGGTCCGGAGCAGAGTGGACAAAAAGCGAACAAGCTATAAGGCAGAGTTACGCGAATTTTAAGATGACGGTGGTCAATTCAGCAGAGGCGGCAAACTTTGCATGCATGGATGTATTGGATGGCAGTGGGGACGGCGTTCTGGGAGGAGTCGGCAGGTGTAGCGATCTGATGGTACACCGGGACCGCAGTAGCATGAGTGAGAATGAGGGTGAGTGAGTACAGCGAGGCAGAGGGCGTCTGAATTAAAGCCTCATTTGACTTTTGATTTCACATTTCCGCAAAGTTCTGATAGTTTGTATTAAAATAGTACTTAAGCCCAGTATTTGTTCTCAAATTAAAAAAATAGTTTATTTAAAAACTGATTTTTTTGTCTTTTGCTGAAGATTAGTATTGGGGGGGTGTCTTATAATCGGGGTCGTCCTATATTCGGGTGAATACGGTATTTATGTTAAGTTCTTTGAACTAAATCTCTCTCAAATGAAGCGGTTTCAGCTGTTTTCTTCCTTACAGTTTCAATACCTTCCAGAATGAGTCATTTCAGGGCTCTGTCACTTTAAGAAAACAAGCTGTAGCTAGCCACGCCCACTCTTCCCCTACTCAGGCAGCAATAATCTGAGATGCTCTGATATCTAGGAGGGGCTAAAAGTAGAGCTGCTGCTCCAGCAGCAGCTCTCTTGCACATGAGTTAGTTAAATTCTACATTCCCTATTTGTGACATCACAAAGGGGCACATTTTGAAATGCCTTGTTTTAGGCCAATTATTCCTAAAACCAGACACTGACAGAAAACGGGTAAGTTTGGTTTTTTGTCGAGGCAGTAAAGATCTTCACGGCAGCAGAAATAGATGCAAAAGGTGAGTTTTGCATAATGTGTCCCTATAAGACGAAACAAGTGCTATTCAAACCAAACTGCTACTGTGTGGAAAAGTAGTTGCCTCCACCATGCTAGATCATGAAATAATCATGATTATTTGGAAAGCTGGGTTCAATTGATAAACCACATCCAAACCCGATTACTGCAGGCATTCAGAAATAACTCCAAAACTGCCTGGCAGACAACCTGAAGTGGGCTAAAAGAGCTCAAAAAGCAGCAAGTCATGCCTTGTTCCTAAGGACTTAAAGAACAAAAGAAGCCAGTACCAAATCAAAATTTGAAAAAAGACTTGTTGATACTGTTTGTGCAAATAAACACTCATGTTCCTAGTTCTGTTGACTCCTGTGGTGTATGAGTTTTGATAAAAGCTAATAGGAAACAATAATGAGTTGATGTGTCAAAAGACGCATAAAAGGTGATTTCTTACCATCAATTTGACCAAATGATTGTAGGAATTAGAATTTATGCATGAATATGAAAATTTGGAGCATTATCAATATCCTTTATATTCTTTTAATTACCAATATTATATATTATGCCTGTTTAATCGCACTTTCTATACGGTATAAATACGACACCGCCTGCATTAATTTTCTCCTTTAAACCCCCCCACAATGCTGTCACGTTCCAAAACAAAAGTTTTTAGGCCTGCACAAACCTTTTCACAGCATTGTTGCTTTTAAATGATTAACTTCAGTTAAAATCAGCTGAACAGAAGGAAAGGAAATATGAGTGAGAGGGATTTTCTAAACCATCAAATTGTTTTCAGTAAGTGGGGCTCTGGCGCCTCCTGGTGGCAGCATCAAGCCTCACACCTTCACGACAACTTAACCTGGCCTTGAATCTGATTTGAAGTTCTCACAGAAAGCAGCGTTTCTGATTTATTTGTGCTAACAAACATCATCATCCATAAATCTAAAGGTATTGCGTCCATGTTTGATATCACAGTTGATCGCTCTGACCTCAGAGCCGAGTCCAGCCTTATGGCTCGGCGTTTGTCCCCGCTTGGAGGTGTCCATTGTTCCCAGACAGACAGCAGACTGTTCGCTGTGGGACAGCAACCCACTGACGGTCTGAGGGGAAACACAAAGCAGTTCTTTGATTTTCCTTCACATGCACATATTCCTCCTCTACAGTTCAGCATCTCTTCTGGTGAAATTTCATTCATTTACTACTTTTTTATACTATTTTCACTTTTTTGTGTCCTACAGGAAAGTTCTACTGCAAGCCCCACTACTGTTACCGTTTGTCTGGCTATGCTCAGAGGAAGAGGCCTGCTCCTTCTCCTGCTCCGGTCTCAGCTAAGGTATTCGTCTTCCTCCACACGATCAGTTCTTTTTACATTTTAGCTCACAAGGTCAAATTCCTGAATAATTTGTTGTGTACGTCACTTTTGATCTGTTCCTTGCAGGAGAGTCAGACGCCCCAGACCACCACGGTGACTGTCGATGCCCCGGGGAGGGCGATGGCAGCAGCAGCTCCTCAAGCTGAGCTCCAACCCTCAGGTACCAGCTTTTCCTCTGTAGGTGTGCTGGCTGTGCCCCGCCGTCTGGCCGCGGGTGTGGGGGTCCCGCTACGTGTCCTCCGCCGTACGCTGTCATGGACCTGCCAGCAGGTGGCGCACAACCGCCTAGATTCTCCCTTCTTTTACGCCTACTGCATCTACCTCTTCTGCTGTTTCACCATCAATGTCCTCCTGAATCTCCTCTAGCAGGACTCCTCCATTCTGTCTTTTCTGTAGTCCACCCTCCTTTATTAACCGTTGGTTAACCAACACAAATGGGATTGTGATGATTTATTAGTCGGGACTCACTGATTGGAGGTGCTCGTGTACGTTTTGTGAGTTCGTGTCTAAGTGAAGACGCATCATTGGCGCCTTTGCCAGCGTTGTGATTGGCAGAGGCAGCTAGGGAGGGATCTGGCAGCGTATTAGAGACGAGAACGATGCACCGTAATTTAGTTGTTCTTGGCTCGGGAATCAGAACTCGTCAGGATTTACTGTGGTCAGCTCTTCAGGCAGCCACTCTTTTGGAGTTCTGATTTCCTGTTCAGGACGTGATGTGGCGATAACCGTAGATAATGATGCAAATTTAAGTTTACTAACGTACGTTCCTGGAGTTTAACCTGAATATTAGACATACTTATCTGCCTGTTTTAAATAAATAAAATCCCTGCTAAGATGGACTTTTTTTTATTTTTTACTGTAACCCTTTCTTTAGCCTGTGACCCCCCCCCCCCCCCCCCCCGTGTCTCTCTCTCTTTCTGTGTCTCTCTCTCGCTACCTCCCTCTTTCTTTTGTTTGTCTCTCTCCCTCTCTGCCTCTCTCCCTTTCTCCCTCTTTCTTTCTCTCTCCCCCTCGCTGCCTCTCTGTCTCGCTCTGTCTTTCACTCACTCTCTCTCTCTGTCTCCTACTCTCTTTCTCTGTGTGTGCGCCTCTCTCTCTCCCTCCCTCTTTCTCTCTCTTCCCCTTTCTCCCTCCTACTCTCTTGCTCTGTGTCTCACTCTGTCTTTCACTCCCTCATTTTCTCTCACTCTCTGTCTCTCCCTTTTTCTTTCTTTCTGTCTCTCTCTCCCTCAGTCTTTCGTTTTTCTCTCTCTCTCCCTCTCTTACTCTGTTTCTCTCCGTCTCTTGCTCTGTGTCTCACTGTCTTTCACTCCCTCATTTTCTCTCTCTCTGTCTCTCTCTCTCTCTCTCTCTCACTCTCTGTCTCCCTTTTTCTTTCTTTCTGTCTCTCTCCCTCAGTCTTTCGTTTTTCTCTCTCTCCCTCTCTTTTTCTCTCTCTCTCTTCCTCTTTCTCTCTCTTCCCCTTTCTCCCTCCTACTCTCTTTCTCTGTTTCCCCCCCCTCTCTTGCTCCCTGTCTCACTCTGTCTTTCACTCCCTCATTTCCTCTCACTCTCTGTCTCTCCCTTTTTCTTTCTTTCTGTCTCTCTCTCCCTCAGTCTTTCATTTTTCTCTCTCTCCCTCTCTTACTCTCTGTTTCTCTCCCTCTCTTGCTCTGTGTCTCGCTCTGTCTTTCGCTCACTAGCTCTCTCTCTCTCTCTCCCTCCTACTCTCTTTCTGTGTGTGTGTCTCTCTCTCCCTCCCTCTTTCTCTCTGTCTCGCTACCCCCCCCCCCCCCCCCCCCCCCCCCATGATGTGACTTTTCCCGTGCCTGCTGTGTGATGTGCTGCTTTATTCTGTTTCTCTGTGAGATGTTTTAGACCGTACTGATGCGACCACCCTGTGATGAGATGCCTGTATCGGTGCCTTTGTGAGCTTTACCTTTCCCTCCTCCTATTAGAGCATCTTAAAACTGAGAGCTTAACCGGCGCCTGTGATTGGCTCTCTCGTGCTTTAATCTCTTTGTAATTTCCAGCCTTTCACCACAGACAGGCTGCTGTTCAGAAACTCTTGTAATGCATCCTTTCTGCATTCACCTCTCTCCATATTAAAGTCAAATAGAACCACAAATGAGTCTAGAAACAACTTTAATTAGATGGTAAGAGTAAACATCTAATAGTAGCTTAAATTATTTATTATTCTACATTAGTTTTAGGGATTAGATGTGGAGAAATCACGTCATTTTTGACAGATTAAACTATTTAAATGAATGTAGTAAAAAGCATATTATTAAACATTTATCAGATTAGATTTAATCATGTTCCGTTTTCATGTATCTGGTTTAAAACTCACTTTATTTTCACAAATATCATATTTTAGAAAGCCAACATTTATCGTGCACGCGTTTGGATGAATTTTATGAATAATAAAGCAAGAAAAAGAGATTATTTTTGTCAGTTGTGTTTAATTTTTAGGTGAGAAAGAGGAAACATTACTCATTTTAATCCCATACAAATTCAGTTTATAAACCATTAATATGTTCTCTGTTGTTATAGCACTTTGAAAAGCCTCAGTTCAGAGAAATGGGGTTTAGATGCCATGAGACAAACAAGTTAGTGTTAATGGGGTCAGTTAAATATTCAAAGCAATTTCTGCTGAAGCTATTTTGTAGCGTTTACATTGTCTTAAATCTCGTATTTTTTTCCTATGAAACTCCAGCCAGATTAGCCGCAGTAGCTAGCTCTGCAGCTAATTTCTGCTGCATGAAAAATGCAGAATTCTGCTGTGAGGGAGACGGTTTATAGTTTTCTCTTATAAACCCGCACCATACAAAAAAGTCCAGTTCAGATTGATGCATCTTTAAAATAAAAGCAGTTTTAAGGTTTGCTTTTCAGGATGGGATCAAGGCAAGGCACGAGCCTTGTGTGTGCAACAGGAGCGTTTTAGTGTGTTAAGATGTTTATTTTTGCTGTAGGAATAAAAACAAATGCAATAAATGCAGCAGCAGACCTTAAATCGACGTGTCCTTGTCAGTTTTTTTCCTTATTGGGGTGAATAAGTGGGGATGATGTTAGATCCACTCGAGACACTGAAACAGAACACTGATTCAGACAGAAGGGGAAACATTCAGCCGGGCCTGCATGGAGCTTTTTTTTATTCTTGTTTGTTGCATCAAGATCAGATTTATTCTTTTTTTTTCTCACCTGCTGCTTTCTGCTCTCCCATGCACCACAATTTCACCTGGACTCTCCGCTTTCTGCTGGGCCACAGTACTGGAGGTCAACGGCCTGCAGGAGCCCAGCTTAGCGAAACGCCTACGTGGAACTCCGGAGCGCATCGAGTTGGAGAACTATCGCTTGTCCCTTCAGAGGGAGGAGGAGCTGGAGGAGGTGCCTGAGGAGACGCTGGCGGAGCACAACCTCAGCAGTGTGCTGGACAAGCCCACGGACGTCGACCTGGGCTCCAGGTTGGACGAAAACCGCATTTCAAGTCAATTCAAGTTTATTTATATAGCGCCAAATCACGACGAGTCATCTCAAGGCACTTCACATAATAAACATTCCAATACAGGTCAGTTCATTAAGCCAATCAGAAATAATGTTTCCTATATAAGGAACCCAGCAAATTGCATCAAGTCACTGACTAGTGTCAGTCTTCGCAGCAATCCTCATACTAAGCAAGCATTTAGTGACAGTGGAGAGGAAAACTCCCTTTTAACGGGAAGAAACTTCCAGAGCATCCTGGCTCAGTATAAGCAGCCATCCTCATACTAAGCAAGCATTTAGTGACAGTGGAGAGGAAAACTCCCTTTTAACGGGAAGAAACCTCCAGAGCATCCTGGCTCAGTATAAGCAGCCATCCTCCACGACTCACTGGGGATGGAGAAGACAGAGCAGGCACACACACACACACACTAGCTAGCACAATGGCTTGCTTAGCAGCTAGCTAGTGAGCTAACGTCTGGTTAAAACCAACTTAAAAAGTGGCTTAACTTACAGATTAACTAAGAAAAGATAAAATATACGATCATTACTCACTTTAGATCCTCAGTAGACACCACAGACAGCAGAAATAACGTGTTTGGGGCTCAAAATTCATCTTGTTGACCGAGGTGGAAAAAAAAATGTCTTGGAGGCTACATCACTTCCGGGCCACTGAACTGTCACTCAAGAGAAACCACTGTCCTATGGGAGAGGACTTCTCAGAAGTCCCACCCACCCGAAAGGGTTGCGTCAGAATTGCAACCAAAAACTCAGGGATTGCAAAGGAGAAAGCCAGACAGTGTAAGTGCAAATCTGGTAGTGAGAGCAAAGCTGTGAGCAGCGAGAACGAAACTAAGGAGACTGATGACAAAAACACATGGAGGCAAACCGAAAAACGAAACATACTTTGTTACTCATTTTAAGAAGTTGATTCAGATCGTAAGTTTTACTTTAGAAACTTTATTTTTTCCTTTAGTCAATATTTTTGTTCTATCAATTTCTTATTTTTTGTTTGGCCGTCAAAGTGTTTTTCTTGATCATTTTAAGAATCTGATTCAGATCGTAAGTTTTTCTTTTGAAACGAATGTTTTTTTCTCTCAATGTCTTAAAATTTGTTTCATCTCCAAAGTCTTTTTCTTGATCCTATTGGCACAAATCTAATCCCATAGTCGTTGACGTTTATTTCAACATTTCCAAATTCAACAGTAGCTCGGAATCGGACATGGAGGAGGAAGATGAGCAAGAGGAAGCCGAGGAGCTGCCCCACAGCCCTTCGGATCTGGGCGGCGTTCCCTGGAAGGACGCAGTGGAGCTCCACGCTAAGTTGAGGGGCAACCCCGACGAGGCAGAGGGCGAGTCTCCAGCTGATGCGATCAGCAGGGAAGGAGATGTGGAAGAAGATGAGGAAGAGGAGGAGGAGGAGGAGGAAGAAGAGGATGAAGAGGACGACGAATCTAGTGACGGTAAATTAGTGACGTTATGGTTGTTGTGAGGTGTTTGTTTTCATGTTTGTTTACATCCCGTCCAGACCCCAGAACAAACGGCACCTCCTGCCGAGTGTCACGTTTTTGTCTCGTTGTCACAGACGCCGTCTTCATCCTCTTTTCTTCTTCCCTCCTCCATTATCCCCCCATCCCCATCCACTCTATATGCTACGTGTGTTCTTGTTGGGCATGTGTCTCCCCCTGCTGTCAGAGGGTGATTACTGCCCCTGGGACACCGAGCTCCAGTCAGGCCTTTGGCTGGACAAGTTCCTGACAGATGAAGAGGATGTTGGTACATTTAAAGGTAGCAGCCTGTGGATGTGTTTGCTGAAAACATGAAGTGATGGCTGATTTCTGTTAGTTTTAAACAGAAACGTTTTGCTGTGTTTTGGTTGTTGGTTGCTGTTGAGTTTCCTGTGAGCTGTTTAACCTGCTGATTAATCCTGGCTTTGGTTTTTCAGCCTAAAACATTTTCACTGATTTGTTTACCCTCCAGGCTCTGCGGTTATGATTTAGCTGCATTTAGGAAAGAAACTCCTTTGTTTTGTTTTAAGTTTTAGGCTGTTTTTGTTTTACTCGTGTGCACATGCATGCACCCTTCATGCAACTTTCCACTGTGGTGGTTTTTCTTCTAAGTAACGATGTTTCTGCCTTCTCTTTTTTATTTGTGTCCTCTCCTTTACCTTTTCTCTCGTCTGTCCTAATTTTCTTGCACACCTGCTCTCTTGCTTCATCATCCCGTTCTCTCTCTCGAACCACACAACTCATCCCACTTTATAAACAAACAAACAAACAAACAAACAAACACAAATGTAGCCAGGAACGTACACATCCAACAAGTCCTACGACCTGTGGACCCCAGCACCATCCCAGCTTTGACCAGAACACACCTGGACTCTGGGGGAGACGAGGATGACCTGCTTTCCCCGACCTCCCAACACCCCCAGCCCTCCTCCACAGGTAACCCCGCCCCCCTTCAAAGGTCCAGGAGGGAGAGCCACGCCCCTCGACATGTTGAAGATCTGATCCCTCGTCTGTCTTCAGTTTGTTTTTTATTTTATTTTTTTTATTTTTTTGAGTGAAAATTGAATCCATCTCCTCCCGACTAACTCACCTGCTGGTTTGAATGATTTCTGCTTACGTACATTTTTTGTATTTAAATGTTTTTTTAACTGGAATGTCTAATTTTGTGTGCAGCTCTTTAATTTTCTCCACCCCTTATCCAGAGCTGCTGTTTTGACCCTCTGGGGGGTGAATGTAGCGTTCCCCAGCCGTGTCCCAGAGCGCTGCATAACCCCCCCATCAGTTCCTTTGATTTGGTTCTGTTGTGTTCCGATGTTTTCTTTCCCATGTGTCTAATCGCTCCACCGTTATTTTCTCTGCCATCTTTCTGTTGTTCCTTCTTTGAGAGTAGCCCCCGCCCACACATCCACCCGCCACGAAGCAGTGAGAGTCTGGTTGGAGACCTTGTCTGGAGGTAGCGCAGACCTAAACGGGATGCCGACGTCCCGTCTTCGACTCTTATCTGTCTATCGGCTGGCTCTCTTTTTGTTTTTTTTTACTGGCGCATGCAGAAACACGCAGAGCGGGGAACTCACAAGCATGCACGCTGCTAGGCTTCTCACTCTCACGAGCACCGAGGCCCGAGGATCAGATCATTTCTTATTCCACCTTTTTTTTCCTTCCAGTAGTGTGTGTTTTCTCTGCACTTCAACCACATCTCCTCCCGCGCTGCAGCGGCTTTCACAGAGTCAGCCGTCGAGGACTGAAACCGCTTGTGTTCCCCTTGCCCTCGTGTGGGCAGAATCTGCTGCAACTGTTTCTATCTTTGTGAACTCAGCAGCGCTCTCACACCAAGTTAAGAGCTTTAAAGCTGCTGAAGTACTTTAAAAGCTTGAATGAATGAAATGAGGGTCCTTTACTTGCATCCATGCAGCTTCTTGGATAAGAAAGAGTCTGGTTTTTGTTTTTGGTGCATCATCTGGTGTGTTAAACACAAGTGATGAAAACGGCTGTGATTCGTTTTCAGAGGTGCATGGATCAATCGTCACGTCCTCCTGCAGGTTTATTTAGGAACACCAGACGTTCTCAGAGATGTATAGCTCTATGGCTGGTTTTTAATAACTTTACTGGTTCGCTTTTGCTTCCAGCTAATGTATCGATTCATTTTTACTTTAAAAAGAACAGCTGCATGTCTTTTTTCACTAATCAAGCTTATGTTTTGTTCTTATCAATAACAAATAATTAGATTTATGTGCAAAACTCTCTTTACTAAATCATTTTCTTGCTTTTTAAAGTGAAAATCTTTAGATTTTTAAATCTATCCTATTTTGAGTTATTAATTTCTGCTCTCCGTTCTTCATAAGCGGTTTCAATATCTTTGGAGTCTGCAGTCAGAATGTGTGAGGAAAGATTATTGAAGCTGTTAGGGCTTTTAAAAACTACTCACCCTTTTATTGACTGAAGCCTGATCGCGATAGCCAGATTCCTCATTTCTTCCTTTCATTTTTTTTTAACCCTAATCAGAACTTTGTGAAGATAAAGAACTGGAGGCCGAAGCAGACAGTCCTGATGTGGAACCTGGAACCGAACTGGATCAGGGTAAAAGTATAATAATAATAAAATTAATAACCAAAACTTGATTTATTAAGTCCATTTCATGCACATGACTACTTATTCAAATGAACAATTTAAAGTTTAAACATACAACCTGATGAATTAAAAGGATAAGAAGTGTTTTGTTTTTATCTAAAGCAGAATTAAAACTCTCAGGGACCCACATTTTAATTACAGGCCCTGTTGGAGGATCGATACATGCGAAAGCCAGAAAATGAACAAAAAAAAAAAAGAGTCCTACTGGTTTGAGTGAATCCACTTCAGTAATTTGATTTTTAATCACAAATCGCCTACAATTTAATCCAATTCTAGGATTAGAAAATCCTGACAGATCTACGTCATACTAGTATGTAAGTAAGAAAATTTTATTTATAGCACTTATCACAGACTTAGAATCACAAAGTGCTTCACATAGATCAAAACAAAAGTCATAAAATCATAATGATCTCAAAACAGAAGTAGATTAACATCAGAAAAAAAAGTACCATACCAAGTTTATTTGTATACACGGCATGAGAGCCAACCAAAGTGCTGAACAAAAACACTCAATAAAAACAATCAAAAATAAAAACTAAATCCATTAAAATCGAGTAATTCAAATCGAAAAGAAAAGGAGAAAGAGAATAAGTTAGACTGAATTAAAAGCCAACGAATAAAAGTGAGTTTAAACGAGATTTAAAAAGGGAAAGAGAGGAAGAGAGTCTGATCAGGAGGGGCAAGTGGTTCCAGAGCTTTGGCGCACAAACTGAAAAGGCGTGCTCCCCGCGGGATTTACAGCGGGAGCTAGGGACATGGAGGAGGCGCTGGTCCGCTGATCGGAGGGATCTCTTAGGGACATAAGGGTGAATGAGCTCAGACAAGTAGCCAGGTGCTAATTTATTGAGGGATTTAAACACAAAAACCAGGATCTTAAATTCTATCCGGAGATGGATGGGGAGCCAATGGAGATTTGATAAAACCGGTGTGATGTGTTCTCGCTGCCTGGTGCCAGTCAAGAATCGAGCTGCTGCGTTCTGCAAAAGCTGAAGGCGAGCGAGAGTGGAGGAGGAGATACCGTATAGCACTGAGTTAGAGTAGTCGAGACGGGAAGTAATGAAGGCATGGACAACTGAATGGAGATGACGCCTTTTTAAAATGGGCTTAACTTTAGAGAGACGCCTCTGGTGGTAAAAACAGGTCTTAACTACCTGGTTGACATGAATGTCCATTTTTAGTTTAGCATCCATCACAACCCCTAAGTTTGTGACACAGGTTTTCAACCCACTTGAGATAAAAGGGTCAGTTGGGGACTTTGAGAAGTCTTAGGGCTGAAAATGATGGCCTCTGTCTTGGCTTCATTCAGCAAAAGAAAGTTCTGACAGCCAGCTCTTCACATCATTGCAGCTTTCAACTAGGGGCTGTAAGGAGTCATTAGGCTTCACAGAGGCATATAATTGGCAATCGTCTGCATATAAATGGTAGTCAATGTGGTGTTTTTTAAAAATGTCACCCAGGGGCAAAATAAAGTAATAAAATTCAAACATTTCCTAAACAGATGAAAGATGATTTTAGTTAAAAATAAGAAAATAAAAGATTTAGGTAAAAGCAGCTTTAAATAAAAGGCTCCAGTTTGTCACTGTCACTTAGCATTCAGGGACTCGCCCATCCTGACTCAAAGGCTGTTGTTGGTTCAGCATCCAGGAAACAGCAGAGGACGTCTCGGCTAGTAGAAGCTAACTGTTAGCATTAGCAACTCCACCACACTTCAGACGACCTCCAGGTTTGTATTTGTGGGGAGACAACATCCACTTTGCAGAGCAAACGGAGTCAGAGTTGCATACTTGTTAGCCAATCAGAGGCGAGATGTCCAAATATCAGGAAACAAGATTCCAACTACTGTTGTGTTTTTCCACCTTCTCTTCCGGCCGAGTTCTCCGTCAGACAGGTGCACCGGAGTCTGACCTCCAAGGCATTTCAGACAATTTCAGAAAAATAAATTTTTTATTTAAAATTTTGGAGTACTAGATCTTTAAAAAGGATGCTGGTCAATGTCTGAGGTCCTAATATTCCAGTTGATGGGAGAGAAAATGTTGACATAAAAAGCTCAAGTCTCCTGAGAATATGAGATATGTGGACAAATGTCTGCTTTCATAAAGACATTAAAGACCCAGGATGTGACGAGTCGCCTGTTTTCTAGTTACTTTCATTAACGAGAACACGATCTGGATCAGCCTTTGATCAGTAATGGTTGTTGTAAAAGTGTTACTATGATGCACACAAGGTGTGTTTTAGTAAAAGTTAGAGAATGTTCGCATGAAATGAAATAAAACGTAATGAAACCAGTAAAGACAAATGCTGATTTGACTCTCTGCATGTTTTATTAGACCTCCTAGTAACAATGTGCTATAGCTGCTTCAGAAGCTTCTGTTAGAACAAAATCATTCTTGACTTTTATTGGAATGCTGAAAAAAAAATCACTCAGTGGGTCCCACTGCTCTTTGAACACCTTTAGAGTGAATGATTCACTTCCCCTTCTGATTATATTCAGCACTAGTCGAGGCTTAAATTGCTGCTTTATTCTAAAATCCTGCATAGAAAACGGCTTTTTCTTTGATTCTGGTTATGGTTTATTGACCGAAGATTGTGCCGACATAAAAGCATCCAACTCTTGTTATTTAATTCATTTTTTGTCATAAACAAAGGATGAAAAAAAAAAAAAACAGTGGCTCTGCATTTATCTCATTGCGTTCATCTTTGTTTGTTAACTACAGACGACATCCCTTCAGATGCAGAAGCCGAGACCCGTTTGCATCCGTCGGAGAACAACGAAGCTCCTGCTGTGGAAACCGCGGGAGCAGAAAGTCTGGGAATGGCCTCCACTATCGGTACCGTTCCAGAAATGGTTCCTTTAAATGTACCTGAAAGATATTTTTACACAAATGGCAATCTTTGCCTTCTTGTTTCCTGTTGTGTGAATTAAGACTCATCGAGCGTCGGCCCAGTGCAGAAGGGCGACGTGGTTCTTTCTCCCCTCAGACCATCGCTAGAGCCTGAAACAAAAGTGAGACAGTTCCATTCTTAACAAGCGAAAAGTCAGTGATGCGTTTCGACTGAACCCTAAATTCCACCCTTCCTTTTTAGGTAACTCCAGTGACGTCTCCCAGCATCCGGTTTTTTCCAGATCCGTTCATACCCGAGGAAAGAGAGCCTGAGAAAACACCTGCGTCTTCGCCCGTCAGGAGCCCGTCAGCGGCGCCCGTTCCATTTTCTGCTTCAGTTCCTTTGCCTGCCCACACTGCTCCTGCTTCCCCTGAAAATGGCCTCTTCTCCGCTGCCTCTCCTTCTGCCTCAGCTTCCACATCACCTGCTGCCTCTTTAGCAAAGCCAGCCAACGAGTCGCCTGTCAGGTCACCCGTCAGGTCACCACCAACTTCACCCATCCGTTCCCAGCCCATCCCACTTCCGGAGACTCGAACGCACAAATCTCCAGTCTTCCCTCACCGCTCCATTTGTCCTCTCACAGGAAACCCCCTTTCCCCGATCTGCGCCCAGCCCCTGCCGTGCCACGAGCCCTCGTCACCCCTCACCTCCGATTCTCCTGTCAGAACTCAGCCGGTCCCCGCTGTCGCTTCCACACCCATGGGCAAAGCAGACAAGAATGACATTTCCAGGTCTTCAGATTCCTCGACAGAGGAGTCTCTGTCTAAAAAGGCCGACATAATCGAGGAGTTTTGGTTAAAGAGTGCTGAGATAAGGAAGAGCCTTGGACTGTCTCCTTTAGACCGCAGCAGTAAAGTCTTGGAGAAGAGTGCTGTTACGAGTCCAAAACCGGAGCCCATCCCTGCAAAGACGCCGTCACCAGAAGTGTCTGAGGAACAGAAGCCCACCATCACTGGCCGCACTGTCATTCGTAGACTGAATATCACGCTTGAGGGTCAAGTCATTACTCCCATTGCTCCTCTAGAGGCCAAGAGGAACGAGCTGGATAAGAAGGATGTCAACGGCAGCTCGGGCTTGGGCTTGAATGGAAGCACGGCTACGAGTCAAACGGTGAACAGCGATGCCTATAACACGTCAGACTCCACCATGCTCACACCGCCCTCCAGTCCGCCGCCACCTGTGCCTGCTAATCAGTCTCCAGCTGTGTTCAGGCAGCAGCGACATCAGGTGCCTTGGAGCAACGGAGCAGGAAAATGTCCACCAGAGCGTGCCAAAGAGTCGGCGAAAACAAAGACTCCCGTTCCCACGCCGAGGTCCCAGCTGAGCCCAGTGGCCATGCCCAAACCTGCCCCCAGGAAGGTGTCCTCTCCTGAGGCAGCACCGGAGTCAGCGTCGGTGGTTGTTATGAGGGAGAAGAAAAAGCCCCGACCAGCCGAGGCGAGGAAGTCTTTTGTGGAGACGGTTGAGGAAATCCCATTTGCAGATGATGTGGAGGAGTCCTATGATGATCGCACGCCAGAAACAAGCATGAACAAATATTATACTCCACCTACCAGCAAGCCTCCCCTACATCTGGCTCTGGCAATGGAAAATGGGAAACCCAAAATCCCAGTCAACCCAGTTTCCAAGAGCCAAAGGGCAACCCAGTGCTCTCCAGAAGCCAAGGAGATTGCTGAGGAGAGAATTAGAGCAAGAGAAAAGTCTGTCAAGAGCCAGGCGCTCAAAGACGCCATGGCTAAGCAGCTGAGCAAAATGAAGGAGTCAGACACGGACAGAGGCACGTCGCCCAAAGTGGCCTGGAGCGCTACCCCAGAGTCGGCTGGAAAATCTAAAAATCAAGCCAGGTCTCCGAAAAGCTCAGCTGTGAAAGCTCTAGAGTCAAAGAAGGCAGACGCCGGTCCCGAACGCTTCTTCAGCAGCAACAAGAGTCTGGACAGCTCAGTGGCGTCCTCGGACGGCTCGTCTACGAGCAAAAGCAAGAAGCGAAGCTCGCTGTTTTCGCCTCGGAAGAATAAGAAGGAGAAGAAAGCGAAGAACGACGGCAGCAGACAGTCGGGCACCGACGAGACGCCACCCAAACACAAGTCCTTGTGGAAGGCCGTCTTCTCTGGGTACAAAAAGGACAAGAAGAAGAAGGACAAGTCATGTCCAAGCACGCCGTCATCCAGCTCCACCACGCAGGACTCTGGAAAGAAGAAAACGTCTCCTTTGGGAAGATCTGGTGAGATCCGCGGCATTTGTCAGAACGCTTCAAGCCGAAGAATCAGAGAAGTTAATCAGCTGATGTTTTTGTTGTGCTCAACAGATTTGAAATCCCGCAAAAACTTGAGTTTCTCCGAGGACTCTGATCTGTCCTGCGATGATGTCCTGGAAAGGTCGTCCCAGAAATCAAAGGCAGATGTGAGTAATGACAAGTAGACGACAGGCTAAAGAGCAGATGTTCTGAACGTTTTCTGCTTTTCTTCCTGTCGGTTTAAAACCCTTTAAAGTCTTTTTTTAAGCAATTATTCAGGTCTGCATACGATAGACAATTAACAGGGTATCCGCGGGTCCTTAAAAAGTCTTAAAAAGACTTAAATTTGCTTTTCCAAATTTAAGGCCTTAAAAATCCTTAAAAATGACAAATAATCCTTAAATACAGTTTCCAAAGGTCTTAAATTACTAAAGACCCAATAAACAAGATTATTTTATTTCTATAAAATTTTCGTGAATTTCTAGTTAGTGTTCAGCATTTTTTGTGTACGATATTGGCGTAAGCGGAACCGTACACATTCAGCTGGTTGTGAAAGGGGGTTATTTTTAGATGAGCATGTTAGCTGGTTAAGCTAGTGGGAGCTTGTGCCATGGGGAAGTGCAAGTTTAATCATAACTGGATGGTTGATCCCAAGTTCGCGACGTGGTTGGCACCGGTTCCAGGCAGTAGCTGGAAATTATAGCTTAAATTTAATTTTTAAAAAATCTTAAATTTGGCTCCCTTAAACCTGCAGATACCCTGATTAAAACTCCAGTTTTAAAGCACTTCTGATTTAAACTGTGTCGTCAGGACGGCCACTGTTCCAGTTTGTGTCAAAAAAAACTTTTTTATTATAATTTCTTTCACTCCTAGCGGCATGTGGACATCTTTGACCTAGTGTCAGGCATGCAGAAGGAAGCAGTAAAGGTGGAGAAGCTGGAGAAGGAGAAAAGGAGAGAGTTAAAGGAGAAAAAGAGGGTTAAAGAGATTCCTAATGAAAGGGAACGGGAAAACCAAGAAAAGGAGAAAGACAATGAGGAGGTATCATGCAGCAGGGGCGCTAGTGATTTTGAATTTTGAATCAACGTAATTGTTGAAACAATTATCCGTCATTGTGTCATTTCACACATTTGAGCTGTTTTTTGCTTTTTTTATTGAAGCATTAGAATGAGAAATGTGTTTTTTCTTCAATAAGTCCCAAATTTATCAGGCAATCAAATCCTAATATCTTCATCTTGTATAATGCTTTTATTAAAAAAATAAAACCACAAACACGTTATTTTTTCCTAAGGATAGATTCATACACACCTTTTAGCTTTTAGCACACGTTTTCTAATGCGAGCATTTTAATTCGAATTCATTTGCATTCACAATGTTCGGAAATTCAAAATGATTCAACCCGCCGCTGCTGCTGCTCAGGTCGTGTGTGTGTTTGCTACTCTGGTGGTTTTAGTTGAAGCCTAGTTCAGGGCCAGAGGCATGAATCTGCATCATTACAGGACTAAAGGTCTGCTTTCGTTTAGTTTTCTTTAGAAGCTCTTCTTCTGTTTGAATGGTGATCTGAATTCTTCATACAATCAAAATAACTGAAGATTAAAGCTCCATCATGCCTCTAAGGCTTTGTAGGACTCAATATAATCTCATTGGAACCGTATAATCTAGTCTGTAGTGACTGTTGTGGTTAGTTTTTATGTTTCTGTTCGTGTTCTCATTAGATTTGTGTACGTAGGACTAGAAATAACACCCGTTAAGCCTGATTTATACACAGAGTGACGAAGACATGCCCAAAATTTTAAACATCCATCGAAAGGGACGGAGACTGCAAGCTTGTGATTGGTCAGGACGTCGCTTCCTGTGTATTCGTCACCAGCGCCGCTGTAGCTCCGTTAAAAAGTAAGCAGATATTTAGTCAATATTTAGCTGCAGACCCGGAACAGATTGAAGAACGCGTCGTGGAAAAAGTCCAGAAAAATTAACGCGTATTCACCTGTAAATGAAGGAGTACAAAATACGGAGCAAACGTGGAGGCAACGACGGGAAATGTGGGTTTAGAGGCAGTGGCGGATTTAGCAATATAATATATCATATAATATTAGGGGCGCTATAGAAATGATATTTTCTTCTTCTTCTTCTTCTTCTTCTTCTTCTTCTTCTTCTTCTTCTTCTTCTTCTTCTTCTTCTTCTTCTTCTTCTTCTTCTTCTTCTTCTTCTTCTTCTTCTTCTTCTTCTTCTTCTTCTTCTTCTTCTTCTTCTTCTTTGTGGTCTTGTAGCACTTGGCAAACAACAATTTGGTGCATTACTGCCACCAACTGGATTGGAGTAGAATGACTACCAATCGCTTCCTGTTTGTGCATCGGCGTCTTAAAGGAATAGTCCATTGTGGGATCAACAGAAGGGTGCCAGCAGTCAGGGCTAGGGGGCCCCCTTATGTTGGGGGTCCCGAGGCAGCCACCGACCTATGCCTAATGGTAAAACCGCCACTGTTTAGAGGTGGCGACCGCATGAAGAGGTGGAGGAGAAAGAAGGACATATTTTTCCGTGCTATAAAGTCTCTGGAATATATTAGAAAACACACTGTCGTGGACCGGATAAATGAGTGTTATGGTGGCAGGATGCCACTGAAGAACGCTACGCCCTCTGTTGTCCTGGCGGGGAATTGCTTAGCAACTCTCCGCTGCCTGAACAGAAGTTGGAATGGGAAACCCTTTCCGACACTCCGTATGCGTCTCTCCGTTGCGGAGCTCACAGCGAAGTATAAATCAGGCTTTAGTCTCAAGTTGTAGTGCAGCTAGTTCAGAGTTCAGCCCTTTTTATTCATTGTTTTGGGTCATTAACATTCCCTGTTATGATTTTTACCACCTAAATAGTTGCTTAATGTTTTGCTTTAATTGTCTTGTGTTAACGTGATCATTAACCCGTTTAATCATATCACCATGTTTGTTTCCTTCCTTTTTTCTGTTTTTGTCTTCACCAAGTCTGTTTATGTTCCTCACGCGCTGGCGTTCAAGAGATCGTACGCCACAAAGGTAGTATTACAAACTGATAACCTTCCCACCCCCACCTCGTTTCCCTGCACACGCGCCAGTTCACTGTCATGTAACGCCGTCTGGCCAAAAACTAATACGCTCTCCCTCCCAAAGCTCGCTGCCTCACTGCTGGATGTTCACTCGCTTTTAAACACGACTTTTCTGAAAGCACCTAACTTCTTTGGTCACTGCTACGTCTTTTTTCTGTCTGACTCTTTGATATCGCTGCGGCACTGATGCATTCCAGTTCAGTGACTCGATGAGCTTTTTTCGCCTCAGTTCTCCTGATTTTCTACAGCTTTTTATGGACAAGTCACAACAGGGAGGAAATCTATTCTCATAGGCTGTGGCTAACTCGAATCGTTCATCATGTGAAATAATGTTACTGTGAAGCGATGCAGTAAAGGTAATACAGGTGCTGGCCAGTAAATTAGAATATCATCAAAAGGTTGAAAATATTTCAGTAATTCCATTCAAAACGTGAAACTTGTACATTATATTCATGCAATGCACACAGACCAATGTATTTCCAATGTTCATTACATTTAAATTTGATATTCATAAGTGACAACTAATGAAAACTCCAAATTTGGTATCTCAAAAAATTAGAATATTCTGAAAAGGCTGAATATAGAAGACACCTGCTGCCACTCTAATCAGCTGATTTACTCAAAACACCTGCAAAGGCCTTTAAAAGGTCCCTCAGTCTTGTTTTGAAGGCACCACAATCATGGGGAAGACTTCTGACTTAACAGCTGTCCAAAAGACAATCATTGACACCTTGCACAAGGAGGGCAAGACACAAAAGGTGATTGCTAAAGAAGCTGGCTGTTCGCAGAGCTCTGTGTCCAAGCACATTAACAGACAGGCGAAGGGACGGAAAAAATGTGGTAGAAAAAAGTGTACAAGCTCTAGGGATAACCGCACCCTGCAGAGAATTGTGACGACAAACCCATTCAAAAATGTGGGGGAGATCCACAAAGAGTGGACTGCAGCTGGAGTCAGCGCTTCAAGAACCACCACGAGGAGACTCATGAAAGACATGGGATTCAGGTGTCGCATTCCGTGTGTCAAGCCACTCTTGAACAAGAAACAGCGCAAGAAGCGTCTCGCCTGGGCCAAGGACAAAAAGGACTGGACTGATGCTGAGTGGTCCAAAGTTATGTTTTCTGATGAAAGCAAGTTCTGCATTTCCTTTGGAAATCAAGGACCCAGAGTCTGGAGGAAGAGCGGAGAAGCACAGAATCCACGTTGCATGAGGTCCAGTGTAAAGTTTCCACCGTCAGTGATGGTGTGGGGTGCCATGTCATCTGCCGGTGTTGGCCCACTCTGTTTCCTGAGGTCCAGGGTCAATGCAGCCGTCTACCAGGAAGTTTTAGAGCACTTCATGCTTCCTGCTGCTGACCAACTTTATGGGGATGCAGACTTCACCTTTCAACAGGACTTGGCACCTGCACACAGTGCCAAAACCACCAGCACCTGGTTCAAGGACCATGGTATCCCTGTCCTTGATTGGCCAGCAAACTCGCCTGACCTTAACCCCATAGAAAATCTATGGGGTATTGTGAAGCGGAGGATGCAATACGCTAGACCCAACAATGCAGAGGAGCTGAAGACGACTATCAGAGCAACCTGGGCTCTCATAACACCTGAGCAGTGCCACAGACTGATCGAGTCCATGCCACGCCGCATTACTGCAGTTATTGAGGCAAAAGGAGCCCCGACTAAGTATTGAGTGCTATACATGCACATTCTTTTCATGTTCATTCTTTTCAGTTGGCCAACATTAGAGAAACAAACATTTTTTCATTGGCCTTTAGAATATTCTAATTTTCTGAGATACCAGATTTGATGTTTTCATTGGTTGTCACCTATAAATATCAAAATTAAACGTAATGAACATTGGAAATACATTGGTCTGTGTGCATTGCATGAATATAATGTACAAGTTTCACGTTTTGAATGGAATTACTGAAATATTTTCAACCTTTTGATGATATTCTAATTTACTGGCCAGCACCTGTATATGCCGCTGTGGCAGGAAGTTCTGAGAATGACACAAGAATTGTTTTTTACAAAGTTTGTTGCTTCAGTGTTTTTCTTTTACAAGAAGTTTATGTTGAAACTGATCTGCAGCTTCTTTTTTTAAAGGTGCAATCACAGAAAAACTACGTTTAATAATTATTTCCGATTATATTATATATTATCTGATTATATATATATTATATTATATATAATATATTATATTATATGAGTTTTTCCATACATTCTGAACATGAAAATAGTCTCCTACACCTATCTCCTGCGTTAGCGTTCAGAAATTGCAGAGAACTTCTCGCCTAGTGGAAGCTAGCCTCAACCACACAGCAGAAGCTCCTGTGGTCTTGTGTTGTTTGTGGAGAGAAAACGTACATGTCGCAGAGCAAATGGAGTCAGTGGTAGAGTCGTGATGCTTTTATCCAATCCGGGGCAAGATGTCCAAATATCAGGAAGTAAGACACCAAATCCTGTCGTGTTCAGCTCTCCTCTGATGTGGCAGGCGTTTCGGGGCTTTTTTTTTTGCCCCGGCTACGGCTTGCAAGGCATTCATTCCTACCAGCGGACGCTTCAAATGTATCAATTAAACAAGTTTCCCACACCTTTAAAGAGCAAGTCACCCCCTACCGTAGTATTACTCCACTCCCACTTCCTGTTTGGAAAAATGCAACAAATGCTGTTGCCTAGCAGACCGAGAGGGCGTAGCCGCTAACAAATACACACACACACACACACACACACACACACACACACACACACACACATACACACACACACACACACACACACACACACACACACACACACACACACACACACACACACACACACACAGGCTCACACAACATTGTGACATTATATGGTACCAGCTAACATTGTAGGGTAACTCTTAGCCAATAGCGATGGCAGATTTACATTCAACTGCAGTGCAGAGTTTTTACCCGACAACGGCACAACACTGACAGTTTTACACCGGGGACACACCGGCCGCCGAAGCGCCGCGAAACGGGGACCGCCTTCATTCGGCGCCCTTGTTATCCTATTCTATAGACCACATGGGCTGCCGAAGCGCCGAGCGCCGGCGCTCCATCCTGCGCCGTGCAGCAATCGTTTTGCCGTCTGCTCTATTTTTTCGCGAGCCGCGGGTGAACCGCGTCAATTCTGGCAGGAAGTCAAACCTAGATATAAAAGGCAGGTCAGTAAATTTTACAAAATAAAGCATTTCAAAATACAATTCCGCGATAGTCAAATGTGTTCGTAAACAGACACTGCACAAAAACCACACAAACACACAGACACACACACACAGTGAACTTGTGTGTGTGTGTGTGTGTGTGTGTGTGTGTGTGTGTGTGTGTGTGTGTGTGTGTGTGTGTGTGACCACGTGAAGGGGGTGTGGTTTTGGGTGTCTTTCAAGCGGAGCAAACAGGACAGAGAGGCAGAAACTTGTAGGCCAGCTATTAACAACTGGTTCACACCATAGGTTCACACACACACACGTAGAAACACACACAAACAGCAAGGGGGAGGGGGGTGTAGAGGAAAAGAGCAGAGAAAAGGCAGAGAGGAAATGGAGGACACCAAGTGGTTAAAAGAAAAACTACAGCTGAGCCGAGGCGCGCCTCGACCGGAGCGGAGAAACAAGCGTCTGGTCTGAACTGAGGAGCAGCGGCCGAATTTCGTGAGCGTTTCGCCTCCCGGCGCTTCGGCGGCCGGTGTGTCCCCGGCATCGACAGAAATATTTTATTTTAACTAAAATTCACTAAAGTGCAAAACTATTGACGGCACGTTTCTGCAGCACGATTAGACGCACATTTAGATAGTTTATCAGAAAAAAAAAGTAGATTTGGGGTGACTTGCTCTTTAAGGCTTCTTGCATAATAAGCAGACTTTTTTTTGTCTATTAGCTGTTTATCAGAATTTTTGGGTTTTGATTCTTGAACATTGACCATATGTTTTCAGAGGGACGAATGACCAAATTTTCAATTTGTTATTATCCAAGCATCCTATTTTTGATTTAGCCTCATGGCACTATGCTCTGACTCGCTGGGAAAACTGTTTTTAGCAAAACTGGCTGGGAGGGGTTCCTCTGGGAGGATGTTTAGTTACCATTCCTTGTTCATAGCTGTGCTATCTGGTGAAACTGCGAATAAGGCTACTCGCTTAACAAACCCACCCATGAATGGCCTCATGATGCTTTATTGGTGTCATGACAACATGGCTGACCTTTTCTTCATCTGACAATCATTTTTCCAAACAGTTAAAAGGAGGATTCATTTGAGAAAATGTCTCTGCAATCTATTTCCTGAGCTTTTAGCAGAATATCAGTCAGTCTCTGATGTTCTTCTAGATGAGTGTCTTCTTTGCCCCTCTTCTTGACACTAATGGGCCATTCCCATCTGTACCGGGTCGGGCCGGGCCGGGTAGCGTAGCTTGTTTACATATCTGGGTGGCCTGGTATTTTTCCGGGCCAACCAAGGCTCATTCTCATCCCTCTTTTTGAGGGGGTCTGCTTCAGGCCGACCAGGGCCAACACACCCACTGCTGACAGCAAATTCACACCTTCCATTAGAGCAAGCCTCTGATTGGTGGGTAGAATCAGCCCACATGGGCTTAAGACAAGGATGTGTGGAATCAACCGGGCCAGGCTGGGGCCGACTGGGGCTACCCGGCCCGGGCCGACCCAGTACAGATGGGAACGGCCCATTTGGCATCGTCCAGATGGCTTTTCCTCAGATCCTTTCACACCTGCCTGCTGCCCCGATCTCAGCTTTAGGAGAAGGTCCTGATGCTGGTTGGACTTTTTTTAAGGCACCTTGAAACCGTCTCCAAAAGAGTAAAACCAGGTTTTGTGTATTAAGTTTGTTTATTTTAGACAGAAAGGAACTTTGCACTTGTTTCCGAGCCATCTGATCACTCTTCATCACCTTGGGAAGGAAATGCAAATGGCCATAACACACTGAAGCAGCAAATTTGGCAAAAATGAACATTTGTGTAATTCTCAAAAACTTTTGGCCATAGCTGTAGCATGTCGCAGCCTATTCAAAGAACTCCAATGTAAGTGCAAGTAGAATTGTATTGACAAGACCTTAAAAGTCCTGAGGTTTGTAGTAAAAGCCTAAAAATAGATATCAGTGCAGGCTGATCATCCGGTTTCCCGTCCTCGCTTGATTTCCTGAAGAGCCATGGTCCCATGGATGCAGTGTTCCAGATACGTAGCTGACGGATGACACTCCTCTAACAAATATTTTTGCTTTTCCCTCCAGAAAACCTACACCGAGGAAGAGCTTAACGCCAAACTCACACGCAGAGTCCAGAAAGCAGCTCGGCGGCAGGCGAAACAGGAGGAACTCAAACGGCTGCATAGAGCCCAGGTAAAGCGTCTGATGGGACTTAGCTTTATTACTTCTTTTGGGAGTCATTTGGAAGCATTTTTTCAAAAGCAGGCGCGTTATTCTCATCACTGTTAGTTAATTACTTTGAACCATCTGGCCGCTTTTATGTGGTTTAGCTCCTTCGGAATAAATCCAGTTGCATTTTTTTATGTATGAGAAGCAGGAAAAGGTTGAGACTGAGGCTGGAAGAGCAGCCGGGTGCTGGAGCCGCTCCGGTCCTAGAGCTGTGGTTAGCTGGCCTAAATTCTACTTTGTCAGAATTTAGGCCAGAATTTAAATATCACGATAAATAACATTCAACTGTTTGTATTTTAACATCATCCTTGTAGTTTTATAAGCTGATAATTAAACTGAAGCAAACATCTTTACTGTGAACTAAATTTACTGTGTATCTTCATTCCTTTTGCCATTCGATTTTTCTTACTGGGAAGTTAGAATTTCCGAGGAGAAAGCGAACGCACCATTAGCTGATCAAGCTAACGTTATCTTAAACAGTTTATTTAACTGCTGGAGCAGATTAAAACGATGATGCCTCACACTTCGATTGTTGTCACTGGTTTCATCTTCACCCAATCACCCGTCGCATTTAGTAAAGTGAAGCCAAACTTTAGAGCGCGTTCATGTTCTTCTAGTCGGGAATTGGGAGTTCCGAGGAGAAAGCGAACGCACCATTAAGCTAACATATCAAGCTAACGTCATCTTAAACATTTTATTTACCTACCGGAGCAGATTAAGATGAGGATGTCTCACTTAGATCGTTGTCGCTGGTTTCATCATCACCCAGTTACCCATCACATTTAGTGAAGTGGACCCAAGCTTTAGCGTGCGTTCTTTCTACCATGCTGCTCTGTTTACAACTGGCTCGCAGCGAGCGACGACGTAGCACTCTTGCGCATGCGCAGCTGTCTAGGCAAGTTCTCGTTATGATGGACGGGTACCGAAACGAGGCACCGTTTCAAATGACGTGAATCGGTGCTCAGTCGGTACTGTGGAATTCGGTCGGTACCTTAAAAAGTACCGAATTCGGTACCCATCACTAGTCACGGATCTCAACAGAACCCGATGAGCCAAACAAACCAACACTTCTTTTGTCGAGGCTTGCTTTTAAATCTAAATTTGACATTACAACTTCAGTTTTAAAAAGTGTCGGCTGTTTATGAAAGATCGAGAGCGACTTTTTTCCCCCCTCACTTCTTTAGTAATTTAAAGGTTTTCAGATGGGATTTTGAGCTCGTTGCACCTGCCACTTTAGCTGAAGTCTTCAGCCCGCTTGGCTGCCTCGTGTCACATTCATAAAGAGCGTCCTTGGTTTAAAACAGACCATTTAACTCAGCCTGACATTTATGATTACGTTTATGTAACGCAGGAGCTCCGATTCCCTCTTCCTTAGAAGCAAACAGCGGTGGGGGGGGGGGGTGAACTATGAAACACCCACCAGAGCAGGCCCATCAATAGAGTTGTAATTATCAGTCATTTTGCTGCGGAGCCGTGTTTTGTTTCATAGCGAGCTGAGTTTGGGGCGCACAGAATGTAAGTTGGTGGCGAACTTGATTGCTTTGTGCACCCACGTGGAGGAAGTTTATCATAAAAAAAGTCATTTTGTGCCTCTGTGCGTCGGTTCAGTCACCATCAATACAAACGCCCGTCTGTTCAGATCATCCAGAGACAGTTGGAGCAGGTGGAGGAGAAGCAGAGGCAGCTGGAGGAGAGAGGCGTGGCTGTGGAGAAAGCGCTGAGAGGAGAAGCAGGTAACAACTTCTCTTTTCTGTTTTTTCTTTTGTTTTCCTGCAAATTAGATGCGACGTCCACAATTCAGACAGCTAATGGGTTCAGTAACTTTAATCACTTGCCTGTTATTAATATTTAAATGCAATTTGCTCACATGACAGTTTAATCTTGTTTTATTGGGGTCATCTGCTCACTGGTGACTCCCATGTGAGATCTCATTTAATGTTTTTCTCATGAGTGTCTTACACTTCTCCAAGCATCCATCCTTAAGCAACCCTGCGGAAATGTTCCTCAGCCGAGCCTCAAGCTGCACGCACTGCTCTATCGGAGCATAATTCTAGCGCAACACTTATTTGCAGAAACCAGCTTTTTCTCCTAAGTAATTAACTTAAAATGAGAGTGACAAGCGACTATCACAGACAACGCACTTCCAGGGATAAATGACTTGTTGAAGAGCAGCACGGTTCATTATTTGGAGCTGTTTAACAAGTATGTGACTGTGAATATTAATCTGCAGTAATGGAATTTTATTTATATGATGCATGAAAATACAGCCGTGAGCTGCTTTATTCCATTCTGATTTACTTTACGATAACTGGGTGGATTAAAAAAGACTTATTTATATCAGTCAGATGAATTTCTCCCATCGGTTGTCAAATAAACACGTGTTTGAGGATGTTTTTAACTTGTTTGCTGCTCTACTCTCTTAAAGGCTTGTATAAAGGTACTTATACATTACCCAAACCGCACAAAAGACGATCAGGT